TAATATTAGATCAGATGTGGTCGATTTGAATGGAGATAATGAAACAATGTTGTTCAGGAATGGAGAGAATGAACAAATTTTGTTCATGCCATGAGCGCATGTACCAATATTGGCATCAAATAAACCTTGATATGGGTTCTAGCCAACTACGATTCTCGTTAGATCTCTGACATTATACTCCATATTTCATTTGGCTTTCCATCATTCTCATTATCATTTTTTCTAGAATTCCCGTTGTCTAATAATTCTACTAAGTTTACTTTTGCTCCCCACTTGGATTTATGCTGCCACTGATAATGGCATTTATGACAGTCTGGGTGGAATCAATCATGATGATAACACAAAAAATGCAACACTTTAATGTGGGTGATACATACTATTTATCATGATGATGATTATATAAGAAAAAAATTGGAGGGGGCATCACACTAAGTGGGGATAGAGCCACAATAGCCATACTAACCACGGCAATATAGTGTCGATAGGTGAGATGATGATGGCGGAATAACCTCATTGGGTATTGTCACTCTAGTGATAACAAAATGGGTACATTGATAATGGTTGAGGCATCTCATCTATCAATGCTGCAATTTACAGGAGATCGACACATCATAGTGTCCTAAGGAGAGATTGATTCAAGTGTTTGGATAGTATATTTCTAGTCGCACAATTTTGTGCTTTCATGTGGTAGCTATTGCAAGGTATTGAAACTTATTCTCCCAAACCTAGTGCAATGGTTGAGAGATGACTCTTTATCCATCTCCAATGCAATAGTTGGGTAATTACACTTCACTCAACTATTATGTGCAATGGTTGAGTGACGACTCTCCCCTAATCGTTACGTGCAATGATTAGAGAATTGATCAACCTTAGTGCAATGGTTGAGTAAAAAACAAATACATGCATGCAAATGAACCTCTCACCAACATTTATGTGCAATTATTTGGTTAAGAGCACATGCATGTTATTAGATGCAAGAAAATAATAGCAGACTCACTCAATGAAATAGACACTAGCAAATAACAATCAAAATAAATCAATTCATGATATTTCTTCACCTTTAGGTGTGAATATTAGGGGGAGTGGTGACTAGGAGGCGATGAGTTACTTCTTGAATGTGTATATTACATTCATTGGAAAGATTCAAGTTATTGGAGGATGTTTTTGAGAACTTGGGAGCTTTGCCAAATGATTCGGTATTATGGGAGGACAATGTTGTCTCCCTAGATGGGACGGCTTCATATGGGAGGTGAGAACATGATGAGTCACGATCCCGGCTCGAGTAAGAATTTGGTTGGAGATGAAAGATGGATTAAATGGCTTGAACTTGACTTTGTGATACTCTAGGCATTTCTCAACGTGAAAAGTGACCAACAATTTGTTGGTAGGCTAGTCAAGAATGGCTGGGACAACTAATGAAGGAGACCACTTTTGACATGACTTATTGAGAAAATTTTATTTTGGTGGTGGGAGGCCAAGATGGTTGGGTGTTGGGCACTGTATTTGAGGTGATTGCCAATAAATGTATGTAGCTAAGTAGAGAGGTGACAACCATGGAAACAAGGTGAGGACTGGCAAAAGCATAAAAAATTAGATGATAGGACTTGCCACGCTGATGATCAACATAATTGGTGGCAGTAGAGAGCATTTGGTCATGGAGGGTGGTTTGCAACTTGTAAGTGAAAAAATATTTTTTTATAAATGAACACTTTTCCTCCATGTTGCTATGGAGAGGCAGGATACTAATGGTAGCACTCTGGTTCTTGAGAATTATGGCAATCTCACTTTGGTGGGAGAAAAAAAGATAATTGGAGATTGAGCATGTGGTAGGGGCAGCAGTAATTTTAATCATCAAAACCCTCTGAACTTATTGAAGCATACTTGGTTGTGTAGCAAGCCACAACTATCTCATCTCGAGGAGTGGTGAGGTGAGGATGGTTGTCTCAACCATTGAAGGAGCTAATTCCTCATCGTATTTGAGGTTCCTATGCCTAATGGTGTTTCAAGTGCCTATTCATATGAATCTTTGCGAATACTCTTATAGCTTTCATCCCATTTTGCACTTATTTTCCTGGCAAGTATTGGTGGCAATATTGCTTCGATGATATTTTTTCTCAAAGGCTTGGCTTTGTAGAATTCTTGTGGGTTGTCTATGGGTTGTACTCATGGTGATAAGTGACAGTACTAGGAGGAGAATTTGATGAGATTCTCCTCATGCCCCCCGATGAAGTCTAGGACATGTCATTCCAAGGATGCCATCCCCAAAGGATGGTGGGGAAAAAACTTGCACATGGTGGAGTTGGATGCTCTCACAAAGGGCATCACAATCTAGAATACACAAATGATGAGGTATTTGGAAGTCTCAGGCTGTATCAAGGGTTAGTGAGAAAAGTGGGCTTATCATGCCCAGGGTTAGTGAGAAAAGTGGGCATAAGGTGATGCTCAAGGTATGAGAGGTCTTCTAGCCGTGGAGGTGAATGGGTGGTTGGCGTCCCATTCGGTTAAGCTAATCCTCCAGGGGTCTCCGGTTGGTGACTAGAACTGGCTTGCAACATATAGGGTGGAGGAGGTGTTGACGTCAATGTTTGGATTTGAGCTTTCAACTGCTCGATTTTCGACGAACGTTGGAGGGGCTGGTTCTTTGTCTTGAACTCCACCGCCGGTTGGGAGGGTGTAGCGAGCTTTGAGACTCCATCTCGAGTGAAGTGGTGCCATTAGACTTTCTACAACCTCAAGCTCCGGGCCTCACAGTGGACGCTAATTGTTGATGTCGAGGTTGTAGCCGACGTTGAGTTTCTTTTATGTTGGGCACCGGAGTTGGTCGACGACCACCTTTCACCTCGAACTTATCTTGGAATGCTAGCTTTGGTCGTCTCCTGCAAAAAGGGTCCGCCGATCGATCTCAGCAGGGACACTCTCCGACGCTCAAGTTAGTGAGGGGGTTGAGTGGAAAGGAATATGACCTCGAAATGAAAGATGAGGGAATGGAGTTGAGAATAAATATCTGCGCTAATCATAGCGAGAGTTCACGAGTCTAGGCATGGAGATTTCTTCTTACCTCAATATGGAGACGAAGTGGCATTTTATGGAAGCCTCCAGGAGGAGATGAATGGAGTATGTGTCTCCCTTAGGAGCTTGATGGTATGGAGAGAGGACACGTCGCGGGGGGTACGTGGCTTAAGGTTCTAGGTGACCTGGGGCGGGCGGAGAGCCCAAGGTGGTCGAGGTGACCCAAGGTGGTTGACCACGAGGGTGACCGGAGTGACCCGTGGGGCCGAGGTGACCCAAGGTTATTGACCCCGGGGTAGCCGGAGTGACCCCGAGGTGGGCTAGGTGACCCGAGGTGGCCGGAGTGACCCCGGCATGGGCTAGGTGACCTAAGGTAATTGACAATGGGGTAGCCGGAGTGACCCCAAGGTGATTGACCCCAGGTGGCCGGAGTGACCCCTAGGTGGGCTGGGTGACCCAAGGCAATTGGCCCCCGGGTAGCCGGAGTGACCCCAAATTGACCCCAAAGTGATTGACCCTGGGTGGTCGGAGTGACCCCAAGGTGGGCTAGGTGACCCTAGGTAATTGACCCCAGGGTGGACTAGGTGACTCGAGGTAATTGACCTCAGTGTGACGGGGTTGACCTCAGGTAACCGCAGAGATCGGTGAGCATTGCTAATTAGGGACTATTTGGGAACACTTTTGTCAAATTAAATTTTTTAATTTGGGGTCCATCAACAACAACAATGAATAAGAAAATGTGTGAATTTATACGAAAATTATTTGCATTTGCTTGTAAGTGTTTTTGAAAGTTGCTTCTAATGGTCTGTTTTAGGTGGAATTTCACTTGATCAATGCACCCTGACTTTAAGAAAACAGAAAACGATGTTACTCGGTTCATACCTCTTCAAACACTGTTCGAACGAGGGTGTTCGATGCATATATCCAACGATCTACTTACTGTTACCTCTACTCCTATGAAGATTTCTTGAAAGCCCCGCAACTACTGACTATGACTACAGAGAAGCCTCGTTGGAGGGTCCCTGGTGCTACTGCTATGACTACGATTCTAGAGAGAAATATAAATTTTGACGAGACTTGTTGTGATTTGATTTGTCTGTCCCTTCATCAGAAGCTTGTTGCTAGTTTTGTTGCCTCGCCCTCTAACCTTCTTCTCTCTCATCCCGAAAATCAGCTCCATGTATCATTCAATAACTTCTCTCCAAGCGTCCTTTGCAAGTCAGTTGTTGCTTCTGGTAAACACCTTCGACACGTCATCATGTCACTGGGCAATCAACCTTACTTACCATGGATGAACAATTAGATGGTCACCATACACCAAATAACTTGGATGGTATTCATTATCTTGGATAGTACCATCCATAATAGGGTTTGGATGGTATCCATGATGTTGGACACTACCATTCATAATAGGTTTTGGATGATATCAGTGATGTTGGACATTACCCTCCATAATGGGTTTTTGATGGTATCCATGATGTTTGACCCTACCATCCATAATGGGATTTAGATGATATCCATAATGTTGGACACTACCATCAATAAAACCTACGATCCGACTTAATAAACGAGGCCATTCATATACACATGGACCAACTACTTAAGGTGGCTAGTTGTTCATGCATGTGATAATTCATGAAAATGAAAATTATATGTTCATACTTAAGGTGGCTAGTTGTAATTTTAGCCCACATCATGCATGTTGGTGTTTGAAATTTAAATTTTTTGACAATTATTAGACTTGAAAAAGCAACCATCTTGAAGGATCGCAGCCCATATTCAATGAATCTAATTCTTTCATTTACATGGACCAGGTCAAAGACTAGTAGCAAGCCCAGCCCAAACAAGTAGGTCAAACCGCCATTTTTTTTGGGTGAAATTAACCTGAAGAAAGAGAGATAAGAAATAAGACAGTCACACACAGGAAGAAGATTCCTACCTTAAATGATTAGACACGCAAAAGATAAAATCAAAAAACAAAACCAAAATCCAAGAGAGACGAACAAGGAGGGAACGAGAAAGACAGTGCAGGTGCCTTTATTTTATGTGAATCAATCTCCAGACGTGCGCTGCTGCTTTGCTCCAATCCAAGAACTCCACTCTCTCTCTCTCTCTCTTTCTCCGTCTTGTATCGGAGACTCCCACACACCGCCTCCCGTCGTTTTCTTCTTCCATTGCTCCGAAACCAACGAAATTTCTCTTTCCCTCTTTCCCCACTCTACATATTTGTTTCCACATTGTCTGTTCCGCACATTAATGACGTCTGATTCATCTTTCCATTCCCGGTATCCCAAAGCCCCCACCTAATCTCCCTCCTCTATTTTACTCCCCTTCACCTCAATCATATCAAATTGGGATTCAGGCGTCTACTGTTTGACTCGATAATCAGAAGAAGATGATCCCAATAAGCCCCGTCGCTCTCTGATTTTTCGTTTCAAGGTTTTTCTGGTTTTGGGTCCTTCTTCAAGTCTTCCCTTCTTCACCCGGGATTTTGAGACTCTGAGTTTTGTTCATTTTGTGATTCTAAATCTTGGGTTCGGCTCGGTTTTGTTTATTATGTTGGATTTATAGAGATAATCGGCTGTATTCAGTTCGAATTCACAGGAAAGCTGTGAACTTTAGTGGGGTTTTTTTGAGAAGGACGCGCCGGGTTTTAATGAACTGACTAAATGATCAAGAAAGGAATGGCGAGGCACAACAGAGGAGAAGATGGCCCAGAGATTCCCCACCTGGGTCTGCTCAAAATGCTGCAAGTTCTATCGTTCTTATTGGTATTCGTTGCTGGGATCATTCTTGGGTTGCTAGCTAGTACTCACATCAACAGCCTCTTCAATTCCCAGAGGGATTTGTTTTTCACTTCCAACATTGCTGTTACTACCACAAGCGTATTATCCGATGGTAGAAGCAGCGGCAGCAACTGCAGCACAACAAATTCGGAGCCTTGCAATTGCAAGTCTTGCGACGATGAGAGCAAGGTTGATTGTTTGAGCATGAAGACGTTTCTCCATCCGCATAACTTGACGCATGGAATGAGTGATCGAGAGCTTTTCTGGAGGGCTTCTTTGGTTCCTAAGAAGGAAGAGTACCCTTTTGTTAGAGTCCCTAAAGTGGCTTTCATGTTCTTGACTAGAGGGCCTTTGCCCTTGTTGCCTCTATGGGAGAGGTTCTTTAAGGGTCATGGCAAGTACTTCTCTATTTATGTTCATACCGATCCTGGTTATGTGCTCAATGTTTCCAGTGGTTCTCCGTTCTATGGAAGGCAGATTCCGAGTAAGGTATGGATTGTTTCTACCTTGTATGGGAAGTTTGTTTGGATTCTGCATTAGTTTTCTTTTTTGCATGCGACGGTGCTGGTTATGTCCTTTTAGCTTAGCTAGCACTGAAACATTTTTAGGAGAATCATTTTCCAACTGCCAATCCACATCACAATAGTGGAATAAGGTGAGGGAGTTAAGAACTATAAACTTTGTCAATAGCTTGCATGCATTGAAGTTCAGTAGGGAAGTGGGTGAATCTTGTGAGAATTGATGTTAGTCTTAATGAACTTTGTGGGTCAAATTGTGCTTGGGCATGGATGATATGTAAGTGCATCTTGCTCTGGTTTAGGTTTATCGGCGGTATATGGATGCGAACTACAGAGAGAAATGATTACTCTCCATGGTACTAACAGAACGAAGCAAAACTTGCAGTTACATATAGTTGATATGTAGTGATTAGAAAGGGATCGTTTGGATCTTGTTTGATTTCATATAATCTCATGTTTCTTCTTCTCCGTATAACCACATTAAATTTGGAGCCAAGCTGAAACTGAATCTCTTTATGTAACTGATGATAATAAACTACAGAAGTTGTTATGGTCCTGTCTTTGAAGAACTTATACACTGCTAGTTTAGATCTAAGCTAGTGAAATACCAATATACCATCCTGCATTGATTGGTTAGTAAAACACAAAACAGTAGAATCTAGTGCAGTAACTGTTGGGCAGTTGATATGAAGCGGGATAGTTAAACCGGTTTTTCCTTGGGATGTCTTCTTAAATCTCAAAAGTGCTTCTTTTTCTTCCCTTTGCAGCATGTTGAATGGGGATCAGTATTACTGCTCGATGCCGAGAGGCGCCTCCTTGCAAACGCTCTCCTGGAATTCTCAAACGAGCGGTTCATTCTTCTCTCGGAGAGCTGCATCCCTGTCTACAATTTCAAAACAGTCTACAACTACCTCGTCCATTCGGGACACGGGTTTGTGGAGGCCTATGACGATCCATCCCGGTACGGGCGTGGCCGATACAACAGGAGAATGCTTCCGTACATTTGGGTCAGACAATGGAGGAAAGGTTCTCAGTGGTTCGAGATGCAGCGAGCCTTAGCCGCCTATGTTGTATCAGACACAAAGTACCACAAGTTGTTCAAGAAGTACTGCACCCCAGCTTGCTACCCTGATGAGCATTTCCTCCCAACATTCATCAACATGTTCCATGGATCAATGAACTCGAATCGAACCGTGACTTGGGTCGATTGGTCGTTGGGTGGGCCGCATCCAGCAACTTACAGTGCAGTTAATATCACCGAAGGGTTGATACAATCGATTCGGATGAATCAAACCCTGTGTTCTTACAATTCGGGAGTGACCCCTATCTGTCATCTATTTGCTAGGAAGTTTGATGCAAGTGCATTGGAGCCTTTGCTTAACCTCACTTCCAGGGTAATGGAGTTCTGAAAGAGTTTCTCTTTTAGATTATTGTTTTACTGACAGTGGCATGCAGTGGGATGACAGTCATTAGTTCTGAGGATGGGATGATTTTCATTGTACAGATAGCCAGGAGAGGGGTTCTTAGTGATAAAACCCATGATTTAAGTAATGCCTGCTTCTACTCAGCAGAATTTTGGGGGGCTTATAATTGTAGTAGTAAAACTGCCAAATCAATTTTTGATGGCAAGGCAAGAGTTATAACTTATAATACAGAGAGCATGGATTGAAGGTGCAGCAGGTTCAACTACTTCACTATCATCATGTTAGTTGCCTTAAGCTCCCATTGCTAGCATGTTGCCCTTGTCTCAAACTGAGTGTTGTGAAATGATAATTTTGTGTCTTCAAATACTGCTCTCTCAGTTTGCACAAGTGTATCCCATCACTAAAAAGGAAAAATAATGTTCTCTCAAGTTAGTATGAATTCATACGTGAGCTTATGAGAATGAAGTAAGATTAAGTGACTCATTCTTTTCTTAACTTGTATTTCATCTTGCGCATAATGGTGAGGTGAAAATTCAGTTTTAGGAGAAAGGCGATCGTTTAGTAATACTCCTGTCTTTTTATGATGGTTTACCATCATTTGTTTTTAAGAACGGAATTGGAGCAAATAAGTAGAACGGTCAAATTAATTACAATAGTGATCGGCTTATTTATTTGCAAGGGAAATGGAACGAACAATTTTTAATAGTTGGAGTAAGATCATTTGAATTGAATTACTAATTTTTCTACTTCTTTGTCACTTTGATTATTAACTTGAATTTAGTACACATGATTTGAAATTATTTATGGATAGTGATAAATTCAATCCTAAAAATGTGTATTGTATGTCTTTTATATTATAGAACATAAACGATACTATCAATTGTTAATCACCGAATCATAAACAACTAACTTTTTAGCTCGATTATGCAACCAAAATCATTCTACGAGATAAAAAGGTTAAATTTGGGTGTTTGGTTCAAAATTTTATGATTGAGGGGTTAGTTTGGAAATTGTGATTACTAAAAATGCATTTCTTTCAGAATTCATAGATATGAATAGGTAACTATTTGATAGATAATATTCTTTCAGTAATAAAAGAAGGGATTTTTTTTTAAAAAAAAATGAACATAACTTAACATAATTTTTTAGAATAAACATAGTTGGGTCCTGATTGATGAAAATTTGTGAGTTTCATTACTCCCAAATCCCAACCAGTAATTTGTGAGTATCATTAAGAACTCATAAACATAGTTGGGTCCTGATTGATGAAAATTCATGCAGTTGTGGGCTACCATGGCCCACCTAGAAGTCACGGCTTAAGCCCATAAGCCCATAATACTCCCCGGAATCACCACCTGACCCCTGAACCTCCGGGGCCTCTCCGCCGCCGTCATTGTTCGAGCTGCAGCTCAATCACAGACCGTTCGTTGCACAGCTCTAGCCTAGCTTCAGCCGGAGCTCCAATCTCGCCGCGGCTGGGAAACTTTCCCAGGAGAATTACAGTACAGTACAGTACAGAGTTTCTGCTAGTTTCCGCCGTTTTGAGTTTCATTCATCTATCGAGCCGTAACAAGGTTCCGTTTTGCTTACCTCCGGCAATGGAATGAGAAGAAGAAGAACACGGTAAAATTAGGTTTCCTCGATTCGATCTCTGGTTCGTCACAACATGGATTCCCGCTGTTTCATCACCGAATTCTGCTCGAATCCCGTTTTCCCACCACCAGTTCCAAAAACCCTCAATAAACCCTTCCTCGCTCTACCTTGTCGTTGGTCTGATCGAGCCCACCGCTGCCTCTCCTTCGATTGCACCCGATTTTCAGCTTCACCGGAGACTGCGAAGAATAGGCGGTTCCCAAAGTTGGAATGCGTAAACACTAGGGCGAGTCAGGAAATAATCAAGGATGCTGGCGAGGAAAAGATGAAGAAGAAACCTGGGGTTGCTAAGAAAAAGCTAGCTGTTTTTGTCTCTGGTGGAGGGTCCAACTTCAAATTGATTCATGAAGCTTGTCATGAGAGATCCGTTCATGGCGACGTTGTTGCTTTGGTCACCAACAAAACTGGTACACAGTCTCTCTCCCTCTTCTGCTCTTGATGAATGCTACTCCGTTTGCTCTTGACTCAATATGCAAAGCGTTCTTAGGCTTCTTAGCTTGTTTTTGGGGTTGATTAGCAATCTACTACAGAATGTCAGTTACTAAAGTTCCATGCTTGCCATTCATCTCAACCAAAAAAAAAAAAACCCTTCGCCACCTGAAAGGCTGAAATCATTGACATGCTTGAATTTGTCTGCCAACTTTGTTAGACTGTGGAGGCGCCGAGTATGCAAGAAATAAAGGCATCCCAGTTCTTCAGTTCCCTAAAACAAAAGATGGTGCTGATGGACTATCCCCAACTGACCTCGTGGCTGCTCTCAGGTTCCCTACTTGGCTGAAAGAACTTGGTATTTTGGGGGTTTTTTTCAATGGGGGAATGCACTGTGATATTCACACTTGATATTGTTGTCCCAATCAGGAATTCTGAAGTTGAGTTTGTGCTCTTAGCTGGGTTTCTAAAGCTTATACCTGCTGAGTTGATCAGGGCTTATCCTCGAGCCATGCTAAATATCCATCCATCTCTTCTTCCGGCTTTTGGAGGAAAAGGGTATTATGGGATGAAGGTGCATAAAGCGGTCATAAGCTCTGGCGCGAGGTATTCTTTAATCAGTTCATATGTTCATGAGATGCTTGCACGGAATTTCCTGGTCTGTCTCTGAAATTCCAGTGTCCGTATTCAATAGATAGTAACAATGTCCTGATCCCTCAGTTTTCTCCCCCATCTCCATTTGCCTATTAGGTACTCGGGGCCAACAATTCACTTTGTCGATGAGCACTATGACACTGGGCGTATCCTCGCACAGAGGGTCGTCCCAGTTCTGTCAACTGATAGTCCAGAAGACCTTGCTGCCAGAGTCCTGAAAGAGGTATGACACATACGATATCTCTTGACTCCATTAGATTCTTGATATGGATTATAAAGCAGCCCTTTTCAATCGTTTCTATTGGGAACTAAGAGGGATCATCACGAATTGCGTACATTCTTCGTGTTTGTGGGTGTTTTAGGAGCATAAGCTATACAAAGAAGTGGTAGCAGCCTTATGCGAGGAAAGGATTGTGTGGAGGGAAGATGGCGTTCCTCTCATTCAAAGTAGACAAGACCCCAACCTTTTCTGCTAACCTGGAAAACAAGATTTTACATTAATCTAGTTCATCAAACCCACATCTTCCATTTTACTTTTGGGCGCAAATCAATTCACTTGTACTTTTACTGTTGTGTTATTCAACCAAGATTCCTTGTTAGTATATTGTGCTCTTATACGGCCTGCCATGACCAAAATATAGTTAAAATGGGATTACAATTTACAAGAGCTCATTCAGGCTTACATGAAGTTGTGAGTTGTGCATTGTCAAATGCAGCAACAATTTGGTTCTCAGAATGAGATGTTGTAGATTACACAACCCTCGGATAGCCAGATTGCCAACAGAGAAGCCTTTCTCATAGTGATGTTGGAACCGGAGGACACTCTACTTGCTAAATCCTGGTCTTTTTTAGTTTGGAGCTGAATTGTTGAAAGTTGACCATAGATTCCTTAACGGGCTTTACAGGCATTTAACTTGATTTGATGATAGTTCATCATACAATCCAGCAAGCATAAATTACCATAACAAAGGTTGCAAGAGGGAGGCAGAAAAGAAAATACTCGAATTGCAGATTCCCATACTGTATTATAACAAGAGATTGCCCTAAATCCCAAACAGCAAACAGATGAATGTTCAGCCCCACCAAAACACACAGATATAGTACACGTTTCTCACTTCATCTCTTCCTCACAAAAACAGTCATTCCAGCACCATTAATAACAAACACCAACACACTTCCTCATCCTGCTGGCTTGGAAGAGAAGCAATCCATTCTCACCACCCGCATTGACAAACCATAACAGGTTTCTTTATATCAGGTCAGCAACATTCATCGGCATTTCGTCAATCTGTGTGCTGTAGTATTGCTCTATATCTCTTAAAATCCTGATATCATCCGACTTCACGAAATTGATGGCCACACCCTGCGCAATTAACCCCATGCCATAGCGTCAGTCCCAATCGACTATGTAAGCCCTTCCACTTGGGCTGAAAATGAGAACAAAAAAAAAAAAACTCTTGTTGAAACAAACCACATACCTTGCGTCCAAAACGTCCAGACCGACCAATTCGATGAATGTAAAGCTCACGGTTGTTTGGCAGGTCATAATTAATCACAAGAGACACCTGTGGAGTTGGTCAAGACAACATCACTGAGAGAATGAAAAAGATAAGTTCATAACAATGGACATCAGTGTCCCAACGCTGATGTTTATTAACAGACATTGGCAACATACTAAACAGTAGAAGCACAAAGGAAATTTGTCACGAAAATAAAATTGATACAAAAAAAAAAAAAAAAAGACATGAAGAAAGAAACTTGCCTGCTGAACATCTAATCCACGGGCCCAAACATCGGTCGTGATGAGAACACGTGTAGTACCATCCCTGAACTCTTTCATAATTGCATCTCTCTCTTTCTGAGGCATGTCACCATGCATAGATGAAACTGTGAAGTTGCTGGAGCGCATCTTTTCAGTCAACCAATCAACCTGTTACAGATACCTCAATCATTTTTACACGCACAAAGCAAACTAGATTCGTACCTATTTAAGCAATGAATTACACCATAAATGCCATCCTAATCTATAAACTACAGAGGGAAGGGAAATGCAACAGAATCAAGTTTGTAAATGAAGTTTTGTAACCCAAATCTACTTCGATACCACCATTAAATTCCAAGTTTACATCTATTCAGCAGTAACTTTATGGCCATTAATATAATATATTATTAGAAACATATCAGGGGGAAACTCTACCTGAAACATCCGTACATAGTCATCTCCAAACTCATTGCAAACATAGAAAAAAACCAATCTCCAGAGTAATGATAGGTCCAAAAACACTTGAAGAAACATATTTGGGATGTCGAACTCAAGCACAAACCAATAGCCTTATAACTTGATTCATGAGCAACTTACCTTCCGCTTTGTATTACAGAAAATAACAGCTTGAGTGATGGTAAGTGTATCATAAAGGTCACATAGAGTATCAAATTTCCACTCTTCCTTCTCCACGGCAACAAAGAACTGTTTGATACCCTGTCATAACAGAAATGTAAAAATGAAAAAAATAAATAAATCATGATCTCAATTCAATCTCTGAGTTATCACTACTCTAAAATGTCATTACATACCTCCAAAGTCAATTCATCACGTTTTACAAGTATCTTCACGGGATCAGTCATGAATTTGCCAGTCATCTCCAAAATTTCATTTGGCAGTGTGGCTGAGATCAGGCAAACCTAAGAATATTGGATAAAGTATCTCAGAAAAGTAAGAAGAAAGAGAACGGAATACCACAATAACATATTGAAGCACAAACAGGTTATCCGGAACGATACAGAATGAAAGAGATCGAAATATCTCAATAAAGTAATTGACATCCATAAACATAAATAGGAAAATTTGTGCAAATGGCATCGAGAAGGAACCTGAAGTTCTGGTGGAAGATATCTGTAAACATCGTATATTTGATCCTTGAAACCTCTGCTCAACATCTCATCTGATTCATCAAGGACTAATAGTTTAATGGCTCTTGTACGCAAAGTCCTTCTCTTGATCATGTCACATACTCTTCCTGGTGTTCCGGATACAACATGAACTCCATGCTCTAGCTTTCTAATATCTTCACCCACACTTTTGCCACCAATGCATGCATGTGCTTGAATGTTCAAGTATTGACCGATTGCTAGGATAACTTTCTCGGTTTGTGAAGCCAGCTCCCTTGTAGGAGACAATACCAATGCCTGCACCCTGCCAGATACAAGCGAACCAAGTCAGTTACGCAAAGCACCCGGGATATTCACATCAAACCAGAAACACGGAATTCGCAGCAGGCACTGTTGCTTGGAATGGAAAGAAATGCTAAACAATGTTTCAGACAATGACTCTCAGTATCTCCAGCGCCCAGAAATTTGCTATTAATGAAGGAAAGTAGAATAAGTGTCTGCCTTCAGGGTAACAAATATGGACTCTCCTATCCTTAACAAAATTTGGACTCGCCCAGCATCAATGAACTCTCTCCTGCATGCTTTTTCTTCACCAGAAATCCTAAGATACAATTCATAAACCGCCCCTAACCCTACAATTAGCTCAGCACAAGCTAATTAGGAATCTCTTCTTAAAAGTATTTAGCTCGTCAATCTTTAAGTCTCTGAAGCGTCAGTTCCAAGTCGCAAGAAAATCAACACACAGAACAAGCAAAGCATTCAAGTTCTCTTAAAAAACAAGGGCAGTCCATGAAAAGCAAATCTTTCAAGAAACGGAAGCAGACATAGAAATTAGGGTTTGCAAGGGGAAAGAGCTTACTCTTTGCTGTTGATATCAACGACCTGGCAAACAGTGAGGGCAATCATGGAGGTTTTCCCGGTACCGGATTGTGCCTGGGCAATGACGTCGCGGCCTTTAATTATCGGCATAACGGCTCGCTGCTGAATGGCGGAGGGCTTCTCGAACCCGTACTCGTAGATTCCACGGAGCAGGCTGTCATTAATTCCCATGTTTTCGAAGCTGGCAACCGGTTCGATCCCCTCCGTCGTCTCGAAGACGAGCCTGTCATCGTCGGTAGTCGCCCTACGGGCTCCCCGCCCCGGTGGAACTACGCTCGCCGCCATGGATGTTTTGGTGGGAAAAAAAGTTTTCTTCGTTCGCTGTCTTTGGGAGGAAACCTCTGTTTTACGATTTCAGCCGAGCTTCGCAAATTTTATAGAGGGAAAGCTCCCACTTGGGCTTTGGCTTATATATGGGCCGCATAAAACCGAAGAAAGCAGGTTGATGTTCGAGGTCCAAACTCCTAATCCCATTCGTTAACTTATTTTCAATTGGGCCGAGGGGCCCCAATGCTTGTTGACAACGTGGCAGCCTCCAGTTGAGGCCTTGGATCATTCTGATGGCTGGATGATGTGGTAACATTTCCATCTGTAGGGTTGTGTGTCAAAACTCAAAACAACGCAATAAAATAACTAGCTTATAACTCGGCCCGTTGGCCGATTAACATTGTGCATGTTCATATTTGATTGTTTATATTCATTAGAAACACGGTCCATCAATGAAACAAATCATAGAATCTAAAACTGGACCATAAGTGCATTAGATATGTTGGGATTCGATGAATTCATTCGAAATGTTCCATCAGAACATTTTCTTTTGAACTTGTATGATTGGTAGGATGACGGTCCAAGACATATTAGATTCAATTCGACATGGTCTTGGTCAAAGTTATGTTGCGTCCAGTGTGGTTTGGGGTTGACCATCAAAACTTGAGAGCAAATGACAAAATTAGAGTTACATCCAATATACTAATAGACACTATCAAAGTAATGCGGCACAAAATTAGACACTCCTTATCTACAGGTTCCAATAGTTTGAATAGTAAATCGATCTTAACTTTCGTAAATCAATCAATGATTCCTCGTTTTAACATAAACATAGGTTGTGGTAGTTGCAACAACCATAACACTTAAAGATCCAATAGTTTCCACTCTCCGTTGTACAACCAACTTTTTATCCCTCCATCTTCAATCTCTCGACGTATATGTTTTAAACCAAAATTCAATTTCTAATCCTCCTTCTGCACCTCCATTTATGCTACTTTGATGGATCTTCTCTCCATGAACCTGAATTTCTCTATCAATTGAGTTTCTTGTCAGCCTGATCTCCAACTCCTCAATCTTCTTTCTTGTATTTGGCCAACTCACCTTCCTCGAGGCAGTTTTAATAAGCTCATAAAACCAACACTAATGCTCTTCTCCTCCTTCTCTGCCTTCACCTGATCCAGTTCACTTCCATGCCCTTCAATACTCTCTCCATTAATATCCTGATCATCTACCACTTCTCTCTCTTCAACTGCTCCGAATTTTCTTCTATGTCTTTCAATACCCTTCTTGGTTCAATCATTACCCTGACCAACTGCCTCTTCACTGCCTTCACTTGCTGCAAACTACTTCCATGACTTTTTATACACCTTTCTCAAAATCACAATCAACTAACCAATATCAATCCATGCCTTGGATCAATTTTAAACTCTCTGTGAACATCTCAATACCACAAAGTCTAAATCTAAATATTCTTTCAGTTAATCATGAACTTGAGTTTATCAAAATCTAATCCACTCCTTCTAAGTTGGAATTCTCATCCCCCAAGCTCATTTTTGGTTCATTTGATCCCACATAACCATGATATTATACTTCTAACTAAAATAACCCTCAATCCATCTAACTAAAATAACCAATGTATATAAACATTCCATTGTTTGTTAAATTTAGCCAATGATAATTGGCTCATTTGTCAATGGTATTTAGTTTTTCAATTCTATGCTTATAATTGTCAACCATTAGGGAAATTGTTAGCCAATGATTTTTGGTCATTCACTTATAGCATTGAAAATGTCTCGTTACAAAACCATAGATCACAAATGTCAAATTTTATGTTTTGAAATAAAATTTTGTATAGCACTTTTGTAAACAATCCTTGTATTCCTACAAACTACAAAATCATGTAACCTAATAAATATAAAAATTGTAAGACATACATAAACTCAAAATGTACTATTTGATTCTTGGTGAAGAATTGTGTGAATAGAGGAACTCACTTAGTTGATTCATAAAGCTAGGTATATCATGATGATTCACTTTGTAAATAATTACAGTTATTAATAAATTCGATGATTGATTGTTGCGGTGGATAGTCCTATGATTTTGAGATATTTCAGTATTTTCTCTCTTTAATTCAAAAAATATATATACATTGTTGTAGTCTAGTTGGTTAGGTATATTGACTATCAATCTGAAGGACTCGAGTTCAAGTCTTTGTAATGACATTTTTTTCTCGTAAGAAGATATTTATGTTCTAAGTTGAACTTACAAATTTACCCCTAGCTACAATTAAGGAGAATGCAAGGAATTTGAAATGCTCAAAATCTCCTTGAAGAACTGCTATATATTATAGAGGGATTGCATAATGCAAGGGATAGGATTTATGCCCCGGAAGAGAATTACCGAATTAGACCTATTTTTGGTAACAATGTTTTTTTAGTCATATATAGTCATATAGAAGTTTTCATATGAATAGTAACAGAGTATCACACAACCAAATTCGGTTCCGTAAAATAGTTGAATTGTCAATAAGAGAATTTTTTTTTAGATATTAAATGGACAGTCCTATTGTATCTATATTGAATAAAAGTACAAGAAAAAGCATGCACAAGCAATCAAATTTGGCAGAGTCATTAGCCACCTCCTTTCCATCAAGAAGTAAAGAAAGTATAGTAAAAAAACAATCACCGGAAGTTTTCCTGAAGGGACACACCAGATTATGAGTAGTCAACGCTGCCAATACTCGTTGAATCCCAATTGTGAGTCGCCATATAGAGTAGGACAATTAAAACAAAAAATTTGTGATATTAAATAAAAAGAAAATGCTCGCCAATATGCTCGTAAAACCCGTAAAGGAAAAGTTACAATGACAACGGCTACGACACAAAATTAGATATGAAACTGCAAAGAAAAAATTACACTGCAGTGCGACACAAAATTAGATGAAATCTGGCACCGTTCATAACCGCCTGTCACGGATCTATCAACCCGAACCACTAGCCAGAGCATGACGCTCACCCGCCATGATGCAACTATCCCCCAATTGAAAAGTCCGGAAAACAACACAAAATCATAATTAGACACCAATGTACTATGTTAAAATTCCAATTACGAAAATTTGAACAAGGACGTGCAGGATGGGGTTTAAACAAATCAAAACCATTTCCCCAAAAATTGGTTTGACCATGAATATAATGAACACCAAATCCACGAAGTAGGCACCAAGGTATCCTTCACTCAACAATTGGACTTGTTAAATTTTACAATCGGACCCGACAAATCGTTAGCAAGGAGACGCAATAATATTTACATAATCAATGTGCAAATAAATGTTGGCGAACCAAAATGATTACAGACACCATGCAACATATTAATTAGTGTCGGAGTTGGAGCTCCAGGAACATCATCCTTGCATTGCATGTCGGAGTTGGAGCTAGGATCGGATGACCTTAATTAGCTGGCCTTTGTATCCACAATTAGCAAGCTAGGAAAGGACAAGGAAAAAGGACATCAATTGAAACAAAATTAACAAAGGAAACGAAAGTGCTCCCTAAGAACATTTACTTAATCACCATTAACGAAATGGCACTCATCAACACTGTCAACTCATTCATACGTCGAAGAAGCAAGGCAGGCCAGGAGGAGACACAGAAACAATATTCCATAGTTTCCCACGGCTTTCAAAGCAATTCCACACCAGATAGAGAGAGATGGCCTGAATGGAATAGTTCAAGAAAGCCGTGGAAAATCACGAAAAGAGCTTAGCTTGAGAGAGAGAGGGAGAATGGGTGCATGGCCTGAAGAAAGAAATGGAGAAGGCCATGGATATAGGTTTGACCGGTTGAAGAAGACCAGCTGAGAGAGGAAAAGAGAAGGGATGGGCATGAATGAACGTGGTGACGATTGACGGGGGAGCTGGCCTTTTTCCCGTCCCGTCCCATCCCCTGCTACTGCGGCTAGATTGTTGATGTTGGTAGTTTCTTACCACGTGGCAGTCAAAGAGAGCGGTGGTCAGTTTGTCCCCGTCTAGCTGGCTGCTGACGATCGGGGGCGGCGGTGAATTGGTGTTGGGATCCGCCGGCTGGGGCGCTCATATGGGGATCGTCAGTTTTTCAGAGACCGGCACAATTGTGCACTACTGTCTACCAACGTTAGGGTGGGCATTCGGTCGGTTCGGTTCAAACCGAACCGAAATTATGCATACCGGGTCTCCGAATTCTATCAAACCTCAAACCGAATTCGAACCGAATTATAATTCGGTTCGGTCGGTTCAAACCGAATTATAATTCGGTTCGGTTCGATTTTTCATACAAAACCGAAATAGTGAGGTTAGCTTGTATCTTCTCTTTTTTAAATTATTTGTCACCCATAATGTGAACAATAAATATGTATCATCAATGATAAAATCAAACATTTCAACACATAAGTCATAAAACACTAACATGATTCAAATATTTAAGTCTCATAATAAGTAGAAATATAAAAATCCACCATTTAAAGCTTGCAATTATAATAATTCGGTTTTTCGGTTCGGAATTCGGAAATTCGGTTCGGTCGAAAGGACCCTGATTTCCGAAATATGCCCTTTTCTCTTCCGAATTCCGAACCGAATAACATTAATTCGGTTTCGGTTCGGTTTATATTCGGTTCGGTTCGGTTCGGTACGGTTCGGTTTTACCGAACCGTATGCCCACCCCTAACCAACGTCACAGTTACAGAGTAACTGATGAATATTAAGGGTTGTTTGGAAGTTGTGATTCTTCAAATTGATGTATTGGGACAATTAGTGTATTATCATTTGATGGATTGAATCAATTGATGTATTAGATAAATATCTTGTTTGGAGGTTTAGATTGTGGTTTTGTTCCAAAGGTAAAAAAAAGTTAGTATTGAGTGATTGTGAAGAATCTTAACAAAAAGTTAGTATTGGTTTTAATCTCTCTGCATTTCGTCCTTTTGCCCATGCTTACTACTCCGCCCTGCCCACCGCGTTTTTCGCTGACGTTTCCTTTTCTACATCAAGCCACCTAAATAGTATTTTATTTATACTAGTTTTTTACCCGACCTGTTGGCAGGAGAGTTTCATTATCATTTATACCAATTGATTTATCTATATATTAAA